TTAGATGTATTTTTACAATTTAAGGAAATATGAAGTGGAGTTTGGTGTTGTTTAGTTGTCACTGGGTGAACTACAAGAAGCTTCCCTATTGTAGTTATGGAGGAGTAGTGGCATCTGGGTTGAATATAAATTGTGCCACTTATTTTGAGGCACTTCAAACAAATAAACAAACAAACAAACAAGCATTGGCAATTGGTTTCTATGGGGTGTAACTTGTGAATTGTGTCGATGCTTTGCACATGTGATTTGGTTTCCTATATAATGGAACAAGTGATGCCTGAACATTGTGATTGGGAATTGGGATTTGCTCCTTACACCAACCTCATAGCCACATTTAACCATGTATTGGGAACATCTCTCCATGAATAATAACATATAAGTATGGGAGATGTTCCTAATGTGCGGCGAAGACATGTTGTGTAGTCGGTGTGAGGAACAGATCCGAACTTTGTGTTGGGATGGCTGGTAGGATTAGAATCAAACTTAGCTAGTTCGAGTCCAAGGGCAGAGAATTGTTTCAACTATAGTGGTGATTCAACACCCATGGAGAGGAAAATGGATCTATTGCTTGTATGCACTTATCCTCATTCAACAGGGACAAAGTGGATGTTTTGTCTTTTCAATTTTCTTTGATAAATATGGTATAGTAGATCTGAACTCTTTAAGGTTAAAATGTCACTGTAAGGGAATCAGCTTCAGTCAGGGCAAAGCCCGTTCGATTAACCTTTTTTTGCCTCACATTGAGAATATCTCCGTAAGTATATGCTTTATTTCATGGGGAGATATTCTCAATGCAAGGTATCAAAACACTGTTAGAACAGCGTGGGCACAGGTTTGCCCTAATGGAAGCCGATCTCCAATTTAAGGAGGTAGGGCATCATAGCAATACAAATTAGGAAGTGTTTTACTAATAATCAAATTGAAGGGGGTGTCTTAAGGGGTGTTTTAAGACAAATGTTTTTTGTTTTCATTTGTTTTTTTTTTTAAATTGCCACATCAGCAAAAATGTGTTTTTGAACCTTACTTTTGTTTTCAATGGTGAAAACAATTTGGGTTTGTTCCACAAAACAATACATGCCCTTGGAACCATCAAAATAATAGTTTATTAAGATAAACAAATTTTATAAGATATAAATTATATGTTTATGGAACATGATATTAAATTATTAGATAAAACATGCTTTTTTAATCTAGGAATTCAATAACATGTTTTTTATTTCAGTTTTGAAAATAAAGAATACATACACAATCAATAACATGTTTTATTTTGTGTGTTTTTGTTTTGATAAATAATATATTTTAGGTAAAATGGTTTTGATTTATCTTTCGAACCGAAAACAAGACAAAAAAAATCATACTGTAGAACACCCCCTTAATTAATGTGAATTTCTTAGTAAATGATTTAGAAAATGGGTAAGAGATTTAAACCTCCATGGATGTTTCTCTTAAACACCTAAACATACCCTTATTTTCATACCAGCATCAGACAAAAATGTCTACTCCATTACAGCGAATACAAAATCTCTTTTAAGAACTATGTCTAAACAAAACGAAAAGTACTGACAAAATGGATATGTGAGGCCGAACTGCTTTGTTCTTTTAAAGGAATTTTGTTAAGAGAATTACATAAGAACATGGTCTACATGGTCTTCCTTTCTGTTATACAAAAAAAAAATGTATGTGGGCTGGTAGGAAGAGGGCATCGCCAGTGACTTTTAGCAACAACAACTTTCACTTGAAGTTTGTATTCATAAAATAAAATTGTTTTATTTTTATTTTTTTTTTAAATTATAATAGATCCAAACCTTTTTAGGCCAATTTTCTCAAAACCCTATTCCTACTCCACATCTCATTTTATTGGTTCACTCCCCGCCCCCCAAAAGAAAATCCGTGACTCTGCTACTGCTTGGAAGAGTAGTATGTGTATAACTTATACCCTAATATTTAGTACCATATGTTCACCTTCATAATAATGTTCTTATATGACCCACAACCCTATATATCGATTTTTTTTTTTGACGCGGAACAATGGAGATAATGATAGCAATGGTATGTGGATGCCTTTTGTTTTTGGTCGAATCGTTCTTTTTCTGGCATTATTATGGATCCAAAACTGTGTATTTTCCCATTGAAAACAGATAATGGTAGGTATAATAAATTATTTATATTAAATCTCGAGGAGGTTTTTGTTTTAAAGTCAGAGGTGGGCCTCAACTCTCAAGCAAATGCGATAATCATGTCTTTGGCTAAGGCTGTTCACAAATAATGCTAATCCAAAAGTAATCTTTTGGTTTTGGCTAATAATGCTAATAATCATGTCATTTGCTAATCCAAAGATAGGGCTGTTCACAAATAATGTTAATCCACAGATTACTCTGGCTGGTCAGGTTCACAAATAATGTTAATCCAATGTTTTAGTTTGCTCTTTAAGTAATTTGACCAGCCTTAATAATGTTAAAAAAATGCAAACTGACCCGTGAACAGCCCTATCTTTAGTTGTAAATCTAAAGTTTTGGGGGAGAGGTAAATATGTCAAAAATGCTAATCGTCTTATTTAGTTAATTTTTTATCAAGTCGTACACTTTATTTATAATCACCAAAATAATGTTTTTGAGGAATCACTTGTCAAGGGAAATGGTTTTATTTGCATAACACAAAACAAACGGTGCCCAAAAAAAATTACAATCATCAAGGATGCATTTGTTTGTGGTAGTTTAACAACGTCGGATTTTTTAGTGTAAAAAGAAACTTGGCTTTATACTCATTTTACACTCTTGTGTGTCGATGTAAAAAGGTAGCGTTGCTTAAGCCTTTGATTGCTCAGTCTCTCTCATCTTTTTTTCCACTCCAACATTGAGCATGATCTTCAAAAACCTAAGTTGCAGCTGGGATTAAATGCGTTCGTTTTCATCCCTATAACAAGAACCCCTATTCTTCTACGATGAATCAATTTAAATATTTGCAAGGAATTGAGAGGGAAAACATGAGAAAGAACGAAAGCTTCCTAGGATTTACAGACAAAATATGGTAACAGGAAAACCAACGAAAAATCAAATTGGGATCAAAATCTGGCCTTGGGATCGAAATCTACAGCATTTGTGAGAAGAGCTTCATAGGATTTAGGCTTATAGACTGAGAATCTGGTTTTGGGATCGAAATCTAGAGCTTATTTGCTGCTACTCTGAACCACGTAGTTGCAAAAGCTTCTTTCTTGTCCAAGACATGTTTGGGTTTTCACGCCGATTGACTGATTCCATATTGGAATCCTAGACATCGCATCGTGGTGGCTGCCAACTGGCTAAAGTCGTGATCATGATCGCAATCGGACGCCTAAGGTCATGGTGGGCTGGTGGCTGTTGTAGTTGCGATCATGGTTTTCAAAACCGGACCGGTAAAATCGGGAACTGGTCACTTGACCGGTTTCATTTTCCCCCCAAACCTATTTTTTTCCCTCAAAACCGTTGATTTTGATCAGTAAACCGCTGAACTTACCGGTTAATCGTTCTAACCGTTTGAACGGTTTTAAATGTTTTCCCATATTTTTAATTTTTTTGTCAGAATGGGCTGGTCATTCAGGTCAAACGGTTGGATTATTCGAACCAATAGCCAGACCCCTAACCAGTTCGATCACTAATTTATTTTTTAAAACCATGATTGCGATTGTTCTTGAAGTGAGAGAGAGAGGGGGGGAAAGGGGAGGGAGTGAAAGATATAAAGAGAATGCATGATGGAGAAGCAATGACAACAAGGAAGATTGAAACAACTGGGTTGAGACGGAGTAGTTTGGAGGAAAAGAGAGATATTCATGGGAGAACTACCTTTACACCAATGGAGAGACCAAAAGAGGTTTTTACATCGATTTTTGATATATTTTTAATATTGATTTTAGATATAAAAAACTATCAAACAACTCATTTATATCGATATTCATCTTTATTTTACACTAAAACCAAACAACCATAAAATTCATAAAACTCAATGAGTATAAAATTACATCAAATCGAATTTTACACTGCTTCCTAATGCAATTTTACCTATTTTAAAATAATTAGGGAAAATGACTGATCAGTCTAAGATAGAATTTTATAATCCCACCGTACGAGAGACTGTGAATTGATGCCAAATTCAAATGCAGTTTATAAGGGGCTGCTAATATGTTCCTATTGGTGTATTTTTTTGTGCAGTCTTTCGACTATTTACAAATCAAAAAGATAAAAAATCGGTCTATTTCAGTTTGATACATAAAAAATCTCGTCACAAAAAACGAGGCACTAAAAAAATACGAAAAACTTATTTTGGACTGATTTTGAAAAACTCTAAATGAAACATCATTCATCTTCCGTGTTTTAATCTCACACGGAAAAGACTTAAAAAACCCATACGGTCTTCGAGCTGCCTAAATCTTATACGGTCTTCTGGTTACTCAGATCCTATGTCAAAATTTCAATGCCTTGACTGTCAGAGCTACGAAAATATCTCTTAAAAAAGACTTGCCAAACGGTTGTCATTCAGAATTCTGCATTGGTTGCAGAGTACTGAACCCAAAAAATTATGTACTCCATAAAACGGTTACTTCAAAACAGTGGGACAGTCGTTAGCTGCATTTCCCGAACCGGCCAAGAAACAGGTTGGTGTTTATCTGTGGGTCAACTCAGAGAATCATCGTTATGGACGGTGATGATTGTCCTCGCATAGCGTGTTTAACATGCAAATGCTTCCGTTTCCAAATTCAATGTTGATTCCGTGACACATTGAATCCAAGGCGGCAAGAGCTACTAATACCGCAACTACAATACCGCCACGTCTATTTCTTTTCTGGACTATTTTACCCTATATATGGTACTTATTATCCGTATTAGCATTTCTTCCAGAAACAATACGTCAATCAATGATTTTATTTATGGTATATTGGTAGAGACGTAAGGGTATTGTCGTCTTTCCAGTTTTCAGACAGCAAAATATCTCCAATCCCGCAGTATCGTCTTTTTCAGTGGATGCCCTCATAAACGCACACACAGAGAGATTCATTCATCTCTGCGAGGGAAAACTAATATAAAGGAACTGTGTGGACCGTGGATAACAACTTTATTCCCCCTTCCTCTCTCTCTTCCGGTGAGTCTGCGCGTGCTCGGTTTTCTTAAGGGGATACGCCAACGGGCATGGCCGTACTGCTCGGCAATTTGGCACTGCTAGCGGACGCGAGTTCGCCTCGGGCAGGGTTGACAGACCGTAGGAATCGTGCGGTGATTTGCGACTTGATCCTGAACCTACCCAAGAGGGACTGGTACATCACCCACGGTGCCAAAGTTTCTGCATCTCTTCCCGCCAGGAGCTTCGATCTTGACGGTGAAACCAGAAATTACCGATTCGGCACTCCGAGGAAAATTTTGTCCAAAGCTAACTCAGTCGATTTCGATGCCGATCCGAGCGACGAGGACAACAAAAATGGGTATGGGGATGAAGATGACGACTACGACTGGGAAAAAGAAATGCGAAAGAGAGTGAAAGAACTGGAAGAGATGAAAGAGTTAGAGAAGAAAGCAGAGGAGTTACAGAGTCAGATGGCCGATGGCGAAGGCGAAAACGAAGAAGAGACGGAAGAAGAAAAGAGGATGAGAGTGAGAAAGGAGCTCGAAAAGGTCGGAATAATTTTCCCTCTCTCAATTCTCAAGTCAATCCAATAGAATATAATATGATGACTCCATCAAGGCATCAATAACCCTTTTCTCTAATGTTTTACTCATTATTTCTCTTTGTCTACCGTTTTATAATCTTCCTTGTGCAATGTCAGTTGGTCTGTTATATTCCATAACCAGTTTCATTTGAAAGGTATTGTAACGTCGAGTTACGAGAACAAGTGTAAGAATGTCATACTTGTTCTCATTTATTCCGTTTTATCATTAAAAATGTTACCGATTTAAAAGCACAATGCGTCATGGACGAATAGATGGTATGGATCATGGATGTCATCTCAGAGATGTGGCTGAATTTGTTAAAACAAATTTGAGTTTATTTCTTATTGCTGTTGCTGTATATGGCTAATGGTTAAGTAGTAAATGAGATGGCATTGCTATTTTGAACAAGAGCAGGTGGCGAAAGAGCAAGCTGAGCGGAGAGAAACGGCAAAGTTAATGTTTGAGTTGGGTCAGAAGGCCTATGGGAAGGGCATGTATGGTCGAGCTATTGAATTCCTAGAGGGCGCCCTCACAATCATTCCTAGGCCGACTCTGTTTGGTGGAGAGGTCAGTATCTGATGCATTGGGGAATTTCCCTTCTACTATCTAGCTGTCAGTTGCACATTGGGAATGTACCTGCCGTCTAATAACCGAAGTTTAATTGTTGTGTCCAGATACAAATATGGCTTGCTATGGCTTATGAGGCTAATAATCGACATGCAGACTGCATCGCGCTTTATCAACAATTGGAGAAGCAGCACCCAAGTTTCAGTATCCGACGGCAAGCCGCTGAACTCCGTTACATATTGCAGGCACCCAAGCTCAAAATATCTCAAGAAGAGATGGTTTCTATCCCATTAATTGGTTCCAGTTATGATAGGTAATTTGTTGTTATTGTTGATTTTCTTTTAACTTCTTTTTTTTTTTTGTTTCAATGACATTTTAGTTTTTATTGCTTTCATAGCTTCTTATCATTTTAGCCAAACCTTGCTTGGCTATATAATCATTTAATTACGATGAGAAAGAGTACTCTTTGGTGATCTTATCTTGCAGTAGGAACTCTTTTATAAATGGCTTTGATATGTATCAAGTACTAATTGAGTTAGATTGTTCTCCAAAGTTTTTGCTCTCAAGTCATCCTGACTATATGCCAATAAGGCAATACTTGCCTTGGCTTCACGTCCAGACCACCATGTGAAAAGTCTAACCCATTTAACTCATTAAAAAAAATCTAATCCAATTATTCACACAAAATTGCTTTTGTGTAGGTACTACTTACTAGGTAACCATGTTATTAAAAATTCGAACCATCCTCTCTTTCCAAGTTAACCAGATTGTTAGGTAGATAGTAGAAAGGAATCATGTCCCACAGAACTTTCCCCCTTGTACTTGGTCCTTTAACATGCCATCTGAAAAAGAACTCCTAAAGTGAAGAAGTCACCATTAACTTGTGCCCATAGTACATCACAGAAATCACAATGTAGAAAAAGGATAATTTGTATCTTTCACTCCACCACATGACTCCCAGTGGAAGTTGGAAATGACCATCAAGAAGAATCAAATACATGTTTCAATGTACAGATTTTAAACATCACAGAAGAAATGTGGAGAGAGGGTTGTAATTTCCAGTTACCATGACTCCCAATTTTCATGTGTCTCAATCTATAAGAAGAATATTTGTAGTTATAATTGCTTTCCTTTTAACTATCTATTTTCCCATAACTCCACATTATCTAGCTTATCAAAAAAAAGATATGTGCTTCACATATCAGTAGCAAGAGGAGCGCACTTCTGCCTACTGCTAGACATGCTTATTGGCTTTTGCTTGTAGCATCTGCATTTCAGTGGATAACTCATTAAAAGAATGCTTTTGATGATAAGTAAAATGATGCTTTCAAACTTCTGTGGGAAATGCACATGCATAATTGATAAACTTTTATGTATTTAACTGATTTTTGGATGCATACTTTGAAGACCTTAAGGCAGAAATTGCATTTTTCCCAGCCATGTGAATCCTCATGAGTAATTGCAGCAAGCTTTATTGTTGAACTTTTAGTTCTCCAATTATCGAACCCCTGTAAAACCTTACATCGGTAGTTGGCTGGATTTTCTTGCTTTTATACTATAAAGTCTACAATGATGAAGCTCAATGCCATTTTGAAATGAGATTGGGAAGCATTGCTTTTCCCTATGCAGCCAATCAATTGAAAACAAAGTGCTGAATTTGTGTTGGTCGTCCTTACTTTGAATTTCAAATGGTTTAGTTACTAGTTTACCTTATACTATATGGTTTAGTATTTCTGTGATGCTTAATTTGAGACTTTTGAATAGATATAGTTAAGTATATTCTTAAAAATATGTGCATACACAAACTACAGGACTGGTATATCAAAATGATGAAAGCATTCAGGTTTCATTTAAACTGTTTGAGATGACTCTGGAGAAATTGCAGACATTCTTGTTTGATGTTGCTTTTCACCTTCATAGGATTCATCAATCTATCTGATTATGTTTTTCAACCTTTTTTGTTCCACTAATCTTAACGTTGCCATGTATTATTGAATCTACAGTATCTACCATATCTTTAGGAATGGCAACGGGGCGGGGATCATATTCCTCGTCCCCGCCCCCAGTTCTGAAATTAAACCCCATCCCTGACCCCGATCCCCGTTGGGAATAAAATTTGTCCTCCATCCCTGATTCCCGACGGGACCCAAATCCCTAAAATTTTTTTAGATAATAGTATTTTTTGAAAAACAAATTTACTTAAAATAAATAAAAATTTTAAATTATAAATAATGTTTTAAATATGTTATGATATATATATATATTAAAACGGGGTCGGGGCGGGGCGGTGACCTCAATCCCCATCCCTGACCCCATCGGGTTGGGTCCCCATCTGGGATGGGGAAAATTGCCATCTCTACATATCTTGTAACAATGTATTAAGTTATAAGTTGGTGCCTGCCATTCAATTGATATGCCATCTCTCTTTAAGAGGCAGTGGTTTTATGATTGTTTATTGCTATTGGTGTTGTCTTGCTTGAGCATATGCTGAATATCTTTTCTGCTTCTTCTGTATGGTGTTGCTGAGTGGTTATCATAAAAATTTTCTCCTTTGTTGATGATTATTTGGCAACATTGCTTTTATTTATTCATACCACTGGTTTCAACCCTAAATGTATTATTAACACGAAGTAACATCTGACCAACACTGTTGATGTGTTCTGTCACTCAACTACCATCTTTTTTTCGGGATATCTTCTGAAGGGCTACACAACGGGGGTAGCTCATCCCCCAACCCATAGCCCCCCAACCCAGGTGCAGTTGGGATTCGGTCTCAAGTCTCCGCTATGACCAGCAGGAGACCTTACGAACCAGCTGGTTGGCACCTTGCCACTCAACTACCATCTTTGACCACCTGTTCAGAATCAATGTCTTTCTGAGCCGAGTAGCACATGGATAAATAAGGGTCCAATTCCAGAAACATTTAGCTAGTATGCCTCGAGCTAGTTTTTACAAAGTTGTAAGAGGTTACCTAGGGGGACTAGGTGTTAGATACTTAGATTAGCATTTCTGGTACAAAATATCCCATTGTCTCCCAATTTTTGATCAGTTGAACTGGAATAGTGCTGAGGAATTTACTAATGGATTAGTCTTTTAACAGTTCAATATGACTATTTTTCATGTATATATGCATGCACAAACACACACACATATGTATGTATCTATTTCTGTATAAATATATGATATTTGCATTTTTGACTCCTGATAAACTGATAAGCATTTACCTTTGTACATATACACCCTTTGCAAAACCTACAAATAGATGCTGACTTAAAAGGTGGAAGAGCTTAACATTTATATTACATGATTTATTTATACTTCATTTTCTCTTTCTTGCTTTCTTTCTTCTGTGAATCATGGTGCAATGAATCCAACGGATGGAAGTTGTAGTGAGCTGAACGAACTCTATTGCTCTTAATGGAATATATCTTTTTCTATTCCTTTTCTTTTCTTTTCCCTTTTTTCCTTGGGATATTTATTCTGTTACTGGGGTTGCATATAAAAGATGTTACCTAAATGTGTATTGGCATGACAACATGCAGAACTGCCTCCAAGTTAAATCTGGAACCTTAATAGTTTAGATTTGAAAATACTTGCTGTCCGGGAATCATCATTTTCTGCTGCTCTCCATCCAAATGTGATATACTGCTATAGGACATGCTTTCTTGGCACAACAATCTCAGGACATTCTTTTGGGGTTTAGTTGTTATAGACTAGTCCAAAATGGGAGTCCTCAGAACTGGCCTAATATAGTTAATTGCGAATTGCACATTTTTTTTTTTGATCAATAACAAACGAATTGCACAATATTGCCTTCAAAATTTATGCTAACTCATATTGCACACATAAACTAACCATGGAATCTCAGACAAGTTGTGATTGACGAACGGTGGTTGTTGCAGCTATGCAGGAACATGGAGTGACAAATACAAGGACCGGGACCAAAGGAGAAACTGGTCAACAACTAATCAGCTTCCTTCATCCAAGGATTATTTGGGTGACTTCATGGTTTGGCGACCTCCTGTTGGATGGGAGAAGAGCCAGACTTTCTGGGTTGTTTTGACTCTTTGGGTGGGCCTGGTTGGAGTTGCCCTCTTCCTTCATAGATGAACCGTGCAACAAGATCTGCATTGGGTGCTGCGATCACAATCCAAAATTGATTGCAAGATTTTTCTCAAATGTGAACATGCACGAGATCATAGTAATCTCTGTAAAGGTAGGTGGTGTAGTTGGCCATATATATAGGTTTTCGTCATAACTAGTGCTTCACAAGTTTCTTTATAAAAATTTCTTTTGTGAATTGTTTTACACGTTGAGAATGACCCTTTCATTTCTTATTTCTTTTGGTGTCAAAGATGTAAAATGTTGGGAACTGAGGAGAGTCACCAAGATAGCGGAGCTTGTTAATGCCAGCAGTATTTACACTGAATAGTTGAACCCCGCTTTTAAGTTCTAACTTCTAACTCAAAAGTTGAAGCCATTTGTGGGACATGAATCCCTCGTCTCTTGTATCCCTTTCTACACCTGAACATAAAATGAAGTGGGGGTGTATGAAGTCAAAGCAAACTCAACGAGGGCAAATTAGTTCTGCCTGTCCAGGGCTCTTGATTGAGTACTTAGACCTCTCCTTGGGTTTACAATTTGTGCCTCCTTTGACCAGAAACTACAATCATTTTTCAAGAGGAGTTATTTAACTAGAATTACACTCAATGATAAAATATTAGGCTGCATTTGGTGCGCGTATGTTAACAGGCCAACTTTAGGGTCTTAATGTATGCCGACGGACCCTCCCAATAATTGGAACACTGTGCTTATTGGTTCATATTGTATGATTAGTAATTAAGTACATGTGTTGCACGTGAGAAGTTCTTTATATTAATTACTTTAATTTTAGATATATTGTAGTTAAGATATAAATTGAAAATTGACAAAAGTAATAATATGATTAAAAATAAATTTAAATGCTTGTATCAAATAACAATTATTATTATTATTATATTTTGTGTTCTATTTCTATCATAAATAAAAATAACTTTTATTTTAAAAATTATTTTTATTTAATATGATGAATATATAACATTAGAAATGTTCTAAAATGTTCTTGACAAAATTATGTACATTTTCATTTTTTGGTGTTTTATCTTTTTTTTTTAAATATTTATTATTCAATTATGACATTATGAGTTTCTTAGAAAAATTGGATCATTGACCCACCATCTATATAAGAAAATAGCTTTGCTTTTGGATTAGTTTTAAATTAAGAAAATTATAATCATAACTGGCTGTACATTTAAAATTAAGCTACAGGTTAGTCTAGAAATCAACACAACTCTGATAATGGACTCTACTTTTCATATTATAAAAAAAACATTTTCATGTCATCGGAGGCTTATGTGGCTATTGCTAACATGGGCTCTCAATCCATGTTGGATACAACAAAAAGCTTATAATGAAATTGCCCTTTAATGCTAGGTGATTGGAAAATAAGAAAATTGTTTTTAGTCTCTCTCTCTCTCTCTGATTCGTCTATCTCTGCTCATCGACTGTGTGATTTGAAAATAAACAAAAATGTTTTCGTTTTTTGTATTTATGTTTTCTCTATCAATTTCTCTCACTCTTTTCTCCTCCAATCTCTCTCGTTTTCTTTCTCAGTCAATCTCTCCACTTGTAATTTCTATCGTTCTTCGTCAGTTTCTTTCACATTCATTCTCTTGTTTTTTTTTTCTTACACATTTATATGGTATTAATCATACTGTATAAAAGAACATGAGACCAACTTGGTATAATTCAAAATTCATTACACCAATGTGATAAAAGTTCATAAGAAACTCTTGGTTATGAGATTTACACCAACTTGATAGAAATTTATAACTTGGTTGTACAAGTGGTTAGTCCCTTTAGTTCTTTTATACGGTTTGATTAATATTATAAAATTTTGTAAGAAAAATAAAAAAATGATTAGAGAGGTAGCGAGAGAAAGACTGAGGGAGAATGAGATATTAACCGATATGGAGGTGAGGAAGAAGAATGAGGGAGATTGATTGATTGAGAGAGAGAGAGATAAACTAAACCACTAACCCACCACTCAAAAAGAAAAATAGTTTGATTTCTAGGTTGACATTAAATTTTGTATTACATTTCCATCATTGAAAAAAATCTTATGTATACTACTTATTTTTGTTCAATATAATGAATGCATAATATTATAGATGTACCCTATATTTTATTTTTTATAAATATATAACAATAGATATGTGCCAAAAAAATTATCTATCTTTTTTTTAATTTATTTTTGTGATTCTTTATATTTTTTATTTTAAAAAAGATGTGTTATTTGACTATAACATCATTTAATTTCTTGGTAGATTTTAAATTTGGCATTCCATTTTCATCATTAATAAAAATACTTCTTACATTTTCATGCTTATTTATTTTAAATTTTTTATTATTTAATTATGGAATTTTTTATTAATCCATTTGACCCCAAATATTTGAATTTCTTGCCCACCACCGGGAGGGAAGAAAATGGTTTTGTTTTCAAATTACTTTTCAAAATATTTATTTTTATACTATTAAAATTAATACTGTGGATTTAATTACAAGAATTTCATGATGAGAAAATATATCTTAAATATAGGATTTAATGAGAGAGAATAGGAATTTTTTTTTTTCAATTGGTTTTAAATTTTACATTCAATTTCCATCACTAATAAAACATTTCTTATTTATCATACTTATTATTGTTTAACATGATATCAAAAATGTTTTCAATTATTTTAATTTCTATTTTTTGAATTTTATTATTTAATTATGGCAACATGGATTAACCCATTTGACCCAAAATGATTTAATTTCTTACCACCACCTAGATGAAAACTATATTTTTTATAGGTAAGTTTTAAAAGTATAAGCCTTTATGTTATTGGAATTATTAATTTATTAAGTATGGATTTAATTAATAGAACTTAATAATGAGAAGAAACAAAAATAACTTAAATATAAAATCCATTGAACACGAATGCAAGTTAATAAATTAAATATTTGATTTATTGAAAGAGAATTTAGTGCATTGAATATCATAAAATTACCTATTTTCAACTCATTTAATATTAATAATTGATTCTCTTATTTGCCCTCACTTTTTATCAATTAATTTAAATGTAGAAGGGTAAATTTTGTCCTAAAAAAATTTCAGAAATATTCTTGAGGTCATTCGTGCTTTTTAAAGTAGTATAGATATGTATCGTTTTCATTGAGATAGATTAATAACCTCCTGTTTGATTCTTGGTCTCGAGTTTCCTTGGGCTCAGTTTGAAAAGAGTACAAATACATATAAAATAATACAAAATACAAGGTTTGCATTCTCAGATTTGCATTTGTACTCCTTTCAAACCGAGCCTTGGTGATTTGAACTCTATTATTGCAAATTGAGATTCTACACTAATGAAGTTATTGTCTTCTACCTTTAGATTTGATACACATTATTGTCTGGTTATTTCTTTGCTTTTAGTTATTAATTTCTTTTATTATATTTCATGTTCTTTTTCTCTCTTTTTCTTTGAAGATAACCAGTTCAGTTTCAAAGTAGAAGACAATGAAAAGATAGCAGATAAAGAACAATGTCTTCTTTTGAAGGCTAATTTTGACATTTTCAAGGCGATTGATTAACCGACAATGATCAATTTGACATTTTTTAAAAGTTTAAATAATGGAGTGACATAAAGATTTAGGTACTAACTTGACACTATCCCCAAAGTTCGGAATATATATATATATATATATATATAAAGACCTATAACTTGACAAAGAATTGTGATTTCTAATAGAATCGATTGTCAGGACAGAATTTGCATGATTGGCCCTCGTATTGGGACTAAAGTTGCATTAAGTTCCAATTGTCAATTTAGGCCTGACACCTGAGTATGAGTAGGTGTCTAGGTGACGAGTGGTGGATCCAATTGTCAATTAGATAAATTAGATAAATTAGATAAAAGTAGATCATGCTCTAGGCTACTGACTGTATGGATAATAGGTATGGGCGTAGCACCTCGCAGACAATCTTTACCGATGAAACTTGCATACAGATACGGTGCATATATTATACGCTAATACACAGCCAAAAAAAAAAAAATTAAATAAATAAAAGAGCTATATGGTTTGTTTTCAAGTGCAAGGGTTTTTTATTACTAAGACTGTTCTTATTCTTCTTTTCTTCCCTAGAACTGTAAATGGTACCGGCTTGAATGAATTCAAATTCAAATTCAATCTGGTTGAGGGTGATCCAAATTCAGTTCATATAGTTGGATCAAATGGACATCTACCCATGATTCGATTTGGTGAAACTTGGTATATGATTACACTTTTACATAAAATTAATATTGTATCTCCTAGTAACTAGAAAATTGGTAAGTGTAGTAGAAATCATTTTAATTCATTTTATTATAAATAAATATAATATTTGGTCATTTTTGGTTTAATTCACATAAATAATGTATAAGATTCGATTCGTTTGCAGCAGCTCTTATTGCCCCCTCGGTGGTGAGGGGTGAATGTAAAATAACAAAGTGGTTAAGGGCATAAAGGGCAAAGGACTGAAGGAACCCAACGACTATAAGAGCACCTTTATGCGAAACCCCAATTTCTTCTTCGCCGCCGCGCTCTGCATCAGAGAAGGGAGAGAAACCGAGGGAGGGACAAAGGGAGAGAAATGACGACGCGTTTCAAGAAGAACAGGAAGAAGAGAGGCCATGTGAGTGCCGGGCACGGCCGTATCGGGAAGCACCGAAAGCATCCCGGAGGTCGGGGTAATGCCGGAGGAATGCACCATCACCGGATCCTCTTCGACAAGTACCATCCCGGTTACTTTGGAAAGGTGGGTATGCGTTACTTCCACAAGCTCCGCAATAAGTTCTATTGCCCCATCGTCAACATCGACAAGCTCTGGTCTATGGTCCCTCAGGAGGTCAAGGATAAGGCCTCCCCCGATAACGCCCCACTCATCGATGTCGCCCAGTTTGGTTATTTCAAGGTTTTGGGCAAAGGTGTCTTGCCCCCATCTCAGCCCATCGTTGTGAAGGCCAAGCTCGTTTCCAAGATTGCAGAGAAGAAGATAAAGGAGGCTGGTGGTGCTGTCGTTCTCACTGCGTAGGTTTAGTTATATACGGTGATCGGATTTACTGCTTTTTTTCTGTTTTAAATTTTCCTTCCTCCTTAGGTCTTATATTTTGGATATTAAATTTTAATTTAAGGAACTAGAAAATCGTTGCAGTACTTGTCTGTTTTTCTTAGTTTGATTCATGAGAGCTTCGTCATGTTTTCTGATAGATTTATTGATCGAGGCTCTATTGGTGCAAATTTATTGTCTTTTATTCATGTTGCTTAGATCGATCGATTTGTCTACATTAGTTCGAGTTAGTTCGTTAGTTGTTTCATCAACAGCATTGGTCCAAAAATGCGACTAACAGTATAAATCCAAGTAAGAGAGTTTTATTTTTGACATGGAATTCTTTACATCTTGCGTCATCTTGCGTCACTTGGAACTGCTTAGAACTTTGCCACAGGAAAATCGAGTTATTGAGCTACTTGGTAATTGATATTTGTAAGCTGAGAAACGGTTTATGTTTTTTTAGCTCATTCCCTCAAATGAGGCAGTACTTGTTAGTTATTGCTCACGTAATTGTGTGCTAAACTGGTAGTCACTAAATATGTTTGATGCTTTGAAATTAAAGACTGAAGTCTTTCTTCTATTTGCTTCTAGGTCTGATATTTCAGATCAGTGAATGTTTCGATAATGTTCCTTTTGTTTCAGCTTTATTTTTCTGAGCTTTTCCCCTATAACCTGAACATAGCCTTGCCCCAAGCCCAAGTATATGGTTGGCTACATAAATCCAGAATCCTGCTCGCCATTCTGCTATGTTAAATCCTTGGGCCATTAAATCTTGTAGACCCTTCCTACTGGTGCTACTGCTATATATGGTCTTATGACCATATTATCAGATTATCCCTTGTTGTTTGTTTTTGTTTTTTACTGGGCAGTGGTCTTTCATGCTCATTCCCGTTCTATCTTTTCTACAATTCTGTCAATCAGCCATTCTCAAAACCTTCTCCTTTAGTCTTCTTTGTATGCCCATTTGCTGGATGCCAAGGAAGATTTATGTGGAGGGGGAATTAATTTAGATTGAGTTATTGGGTTGTTGTTTAGCTGGTAATGATAGGCATCAAAAGAGTGAAGTCGACGTGTTAAAGATCTCAGCGTCTTAAAAAAAACCGTCGGTGCTAATTTCTTCTCTGACTAATCTTCTGCTTCGACTTCTAGCCCTAGAGGAAACATTGCATTCTTTTCAAGTTTTAATCATAAGCATCTTTTGGTTCCACTTTTAGCGCCAGAAAGCATTTCAATCCCTTCTTGGTTCCTGCGAGGCATAGTTAAATACTCAAAGAGTCAAAGTTGTCGTTAATTCAAATATTCAATGAGAATAACTGCTTCAGGTGAAGCCTACAGTCAATTAGAAACTCTAGGAGTGTTTTTGTAGTTTGTTTCTTCGATTTTCTATTCCAATTATATTTTGGAAAAATTCCCTATTAGTACCTTGCACTTTGGGCCTAGTGCCATTTTGATCCCTGAACTTTAAAATGCAATAATTCAATGCCATAACTTTCAAAATGTGTCAATCCAGTACCTGTCGTTAATTAGTCGTTAGGTGGCATTTGAGAAAAGACATAAATGTCCTTCAAGTGTCATCTAATTCTCTTTATCAACCATCCAAAAGTTGATAAGAAATGAACAGTCCCAAATCCTTGCATCTGCTATTCGAGAAAGTTGAGGTCATCAGAATGCCCATTGAGATGTGACTCCAACTTTCTTGAATAGAAGAGGCAAGGATTTGTGATTGTTCATTTCTTAAATGGCTGATAAAGAGAATTAGATGACACTTGAAGGGCATTTGTGCCTTATCAAATGCCACTTAACGATTTGTTAACAGTAAGTACTGAATTGTTGCATGTTAAAGTTTGGGGACCAAAATGGCACTAGGACCAAAGTATAGGGTACTGATCGGGAATTTTCTCTTGTATTTTTTTACTGGTTGTTAGAAAGCAGTATTGGCGCATGAGAGGCAAGTATGCTAATAGGAGTGAAATTGGTCTGGCTTATGACTTCAGGTGTGTGTAGTGAAGTAGTGATTAGCCAAGGAAATGAGATGCAAACAAGCATGCTTTGTCATCTGCTCTTTCTTTTTGGTGGTGTTGATACTTAGTTTCTGATGAATGTACTTGAATGTGAGAGAAGTTGGAGTTTTTTTTTTTACACTTTTTATTGCTTAGTTGCATACAAGGTCATTGACTCATGCTATGATAGTATGACAAAAAAGTACTGAAATAAACTTCGATCCTGTCCAGCTATTGAGCAACCTCATGTTAGAGAAATCACCATTAATCTCTCCAACAAAAGTTCTTGTTTTCTTTCACTCTCCGTTTTCTTCGAGATTCTAATTGTTAATAACAATTTGTTATGATAGTATGACGGAAAAGTACTGAAATAGACTTGGATCCTGTCCAACTATTGAGCAATCTCGTGTTAGAGAAATCACCATTAATCTCTCCAACAAAATTTCTTGTATTCTTTCAGTCTCCGTTTTGAAGGTTTTTTTTGGGTAAATTAATAAACCAAATAGAATCAGACAGAACTACCGGATATTCAACTGATAAACCTAGAAACTATTTGACCAAACAAATAATAAGTATCCAGATTTCACGGAAGAAACGATGACCAAGCTTAGTTCTAGTTCAGATCACAAGATAATAGAAGCAGAGTAAACACAAAACAAAACCCTCTATTCTCAGTAGTTAACAAACTCCAGATGGGGGTGCAATGCCACGATATTTGACAGAAAACACTCACAATTGCTAATTTCAAACGACAAAGTGATTGTAACTCACTGGTCGGCTTTAGTGGAGAAGAGGTAAGACCCCTGGGAAAAGTCACAGTACCTGTGGAAGTCGGCACGTGGCCTCCTAGCACGGTAAGACTCAGTCACGATTTCTTGGTGGTCGCGACCCCCTCCCCCTACAATGCCATAGTAGGTTGGCCGATCACCTACGCTTTAAAAGTTGTGGTCTCCACTTACTATTTGGCCATGAAGTTCCCAACGGACTTCGACATCGGGGTAGTGCGGGGCGACCAGCTCGAGTCCCGCAAGTGCTACGTTGCCGCCCTCAAGGGAAAGGCCAAGATAACCAGCGACCTCGAACTGGAGCGACCTACGGAACAGGAGGAGCGAGCTGCACCAATAGAGGAACTGTTCCCATTTCTATCTCGGCAGAGGACCCTGCCAGACTACTTCAGGTCAGAGCATCCCTTGAAGAACCCCTGCGATCCGAATTGGTAAGATTCTTACTCAGTAACTTAGATGTTTTCGCTTGGTCCGCGACAGAAATGCCCGGCATAGACCCTATGCTCATAACTCGCAAGCTCAGTACTGACCCTGTAGTCAGACCCGTTAGACAGAATAAACGCAACTTAGCCCCAGAACGCTGGAGGGCGGTCGATGAGGAGGTCGAGAAGATCCTCGTAACAGACTTCATAAGGGAAGTTCATTACCCGAGCTGGGTAGCCAACCCAGTTCTGGTAAAAAAGGCAAACGGCAAGTGACGCATGTGCGTCGACTACATCGATCTGAACCGAGCTTTCCCGAAAGATTGCTTCTCCCTCCCCAGGATTGACCGCCTAGTGGACGCGACCTCGGGACATGAGTTGCTAAGCTTCCTGGATGCCTACTCGGGCTACAACCAAATCAGGATGGACCTGTCCGACGAGGAAAAAACAACCTTCATAACCGAGTTCGGCCTGTACTGCTACAAGGCCATGCCCTTCGGACAGAAAAATGCTGGGGTGACCTTCCAAAGACTCGTGAATAAGCTGTTTCAGCCCTTAATTGGCACGAATATAGAACGTTATGTAGACGACATGGTCATCAAGACACAGTTTTTGCATGAATTAATACAAGACTTGCACTCTGTCTTCAAAATTCTGCGTCAATTTAGCATGAAACTAAACCCAAACAAGTGTGTCTTCGGTGTCACATCGGGTAAGTTCCTAGGGTACATCATCAACCGGTGCGGTATTGAGGCCAACCTGGACAAAATAAAGGCCATCCTAGATATGAGATCACCCCGAAAAGTAAAAGAGGTTCAGAGGCTAAATGTCAGGATAGCCGCTCCAAGTCGCTTCATGTCTAAGTCTGCAGACCGTTGCATGCCCTTCTTCAAGGCAATAAAAGGCAAAGGGTTTGAGTGGAACCCGAACTGCCAGCTCGCATTTGACGAGCTCAAGAAATACTTCGCCAGCATCCCGGTGTTGACCCGACTTGAAGAGGAAGATGTTTTAGAACTGTACCTTTTGACAAACGATGAAGTGGTCAGTTCGGTACAAGTAAAGGAAGCAGATCGGGTCCAACAACCCATCTACTATGTTAGTAAGATATTGTAGGGAGCAAAAACGAGATATCCAGAGATAGAAAAACTGGCCTATGCGCTGGTCATTGTGGCCCGCAAACTCCGCCCGTATTTCCAAGCTCATACCATCAACGTCCTCACCAACAAACCCTTGAGGCAAGTATTACTCAGGCCCGAGGTCTCTGGATGATTGACGAAGTGGGCCATCGAACTCAGTGAGTACAATCTCCAGAACAAGCCCCGAACCGCTATAAAAGCTCAAGCCTTAGCGGATTTTGTTGTAGAATGCATGTTCAGCTTCGAGGTCCTCAGCCCGATTGAGCACGAGGCTCCCAGTTCGGGTGAGCTTGGTGCTCCCGGGCCGGTTGAGTCTGAGCCCCGCGAGATCGAACCCAGTTCGGTATCTCTCCTGGTTAGGCTGAGCGTGAACTGGGATGAAGAGCCCTGGATCCTTAACGTAGATAGCTCCTCAAACCAGCAGGGCAGCAGAGCCGGTGTAGTTCTTCGCGGACAGAGTGGCACGGAACTGGAGTACGCGCTACGCTTCGAGTTTGCGGCATCCAACAATGAGGCGGAATGCGAGGCGTTGATAGCAGGGCTAGCTCTGGCGCAAGAAGTGAAGGCAAAACACATAGTTATCTGGCGCCGTCGCTCAGAAGGCACTATGACAGGGGTACTGATGAAGGGAAATTTGGCCCGACCTCGCAATCACTTGACACGTGGCAAAAGCAAGCAACTCGGGGCAGCAGAGTGCCTAAAACGAGCACCGAAAGTAACGAAGTCCAAGCTCACTACTGAGCCCGAACTCCACCAGACCGGATTCCCTACTAGGAGCCCGAGCTTCCTACCAAGAACCCGAGCTCCCTACTGGGAGTCCGAGCTCCCAACTAAGAACCCGAGCTCCCTGCAAGGAGCCCGAACTATCTTGGGTCCTAAGCCTCACAAAG